GGAGCTTTGGGGCGTTGTTGACAGGGAACATTTTAAAGGTGGGAGCAGGGGAGGTTTGTGTTGGACATCACAAAAAGGTTTTTCACCCAGAGGGTGGCTGGGCACTGAGCAGGCTGCCCAGGGCAGTGGTCACAGCGCAGAGTTTAGCGAGGTTTGGGACGATGCTCTGAGCCCCATGGTGGCATTGTTGGCGCTGTCCTGTGCAGGGCCAGCAGCCGGACTGGCTGGTTCTGGTGGGTCCCTTCCAGCTCAGCGTATTCCAGATTTCTGTGATCAGTCTCACCCTCCCGGGCCTCCAGGAGAGGTTTGTTTGTTCCCGGTCAGCAGCTCTGGTGTGCCCCTGTTGGGTTACAGACGGCTTGTTCATCCCGGGGGGATACAGAGGAAATAGGGCAGAGCTGACCTGTTTGCTTCCCCCCTCCACTCCCCGCCCCCGTTTCTTTTCTGTTTTTGTCTCTTTTCCTGTGTCCCTGAGCTGTGTTCCTTTGCTGGGCCGGCTCTGGCGGTGAAGCAGGAGGTAAACAAGGCTGGTGTGTGTGTCACGGCTGATGCCGGGCACTTGCAGAGCTGTAAACACGGGGCGTTTAAGGCTTGCGAAATCCCGGGCACGGAGGTAGCGCCGTGTTCGCTGGAGTGGGAGGGAGTGGAGAGGCAGCTGAAGTGATTTACCCAAGGCCATGCAGGAAGCGGGTGATGGCTCAGGGATTAAAAATAGGAACTTGCAGGCTCCTGAGAGCAAGCTGTGACCAACTGTGCTGCTGCTCTGCTTTTGTTTTTGTTTGGTTGGGGGACATCGTGGTTGCCGTTGTTTTCCTGTGCAAATACAGGTGCAGAGCTCGCTCAGGAGTGTGGATAATTCCAGGAACACCAGCACCAGTGTGCTGGAGCTGCTCTGTGTCTACCCAGAAGTTTCTGTAGAGAGCAAACATGGAATTCTGATTGTGAGGGGTTTATTTGGGAAGAAATAAGGCTTGGTGTTTTTGGCATTGTTCTGAACTGTGTTTCAGTAACTATTGTTTGTGCTGTTTGGAACAGCCTGGGCTTGGGCATTGAGGACAGTCACTAAAATATGTGTCTTCACAAAGTGAGGTGCTGACCTTGCTGGAGAGCTGTGTGTGTCACCCTTGTGCTGGTCTTTGTTGGGCTGTAAAGGTTTGGCTGTGACCTTCCTGTGGCAGCCCCAGAGCTTTTACTCCCTTTGTAATGAATTTAGAAGCTTCCAGTGTGTGATTCCTTCAGGATCCTCATTGGGTTTTCCATCCAGGTTGGATTTGGCACTGTGCAGTGAATAATTTCAGCATTACCAAGTGATGCTGTCCCAGAGAGCACATCCCAAATTGAGCTTTCTTTCAGTGAGTGCTCTAGAGTGAAACCAGTGCTTTGCTAATGCACCCTCAGACATCAAGGGACTCCAATTTTGGCATCTGAGGGTGAGCTGCATTCATAGGGGTCAAAATTCTTACTATTTTCTCTTTTCTTTAACATGTTATTTGTAACTTTCTGAAAAGAACAGGTATTTTCAGCTTTTACACGCTATCTTGAGGATTTCTGAAAATGGCTGGAATTGAAAGCAGCCAGCCACCTTAATGTGGAAGTCTAATTCAGGGCTATGAACTGCAGAAATTGGCGCCTGGATGTAATTTCAAAGGAAAAAGGAAAGAGAAATGAACGCCCTGAGTGCTGAAGAAGAGGTTAGGACAAGATCTGAGAGCAGAGATGGATGAGAAGACCTTAAATAGGCCCTGGATAAAAAAGGAAGTGGGTGGAGAAGAAGAAACTATTAGAAACTGCCTTAACCTCTAAACTGGTTTCCTTCTCCCCCCACCACAAGTGTATTAAAATGTCTTGGGCTGATTTCATGTTACAGCCCAAGGGCAGACCAGCCCTATGCTCAGGCCTGTGAATGGGAAGACAAATTTGTTTTCCTTCTCTGTTCTCCTGATAAATCTCTCTTCTGGAGTGGCCAAGGGTTGCATGTTCTTGCATGGTGTCAGTGTGTGTGCCTGAGTAAACTCGGCACTGCCCTCTGCTCTCTGCTTGCTGCTTGTGGGCCAATACATTGAATTTTTTAAATTGTGACTGTGCACACACATTGCAGAGAGAAGCTCTCAGTCCTGTGAACCCTGAATTACCAGGAGAGGTGGAATGGCTGCAGATTTTCTCCTGCTGATTTAGTGCAAGTATCTCAGAGTTTGGTTGGAGCAGAGGGAAAACCTTCTGCAGCTCTGCTGGCTTTTCCTCTGCAGACATTTTCATTGCTCTGCTGCAGTTGGGTTTGTGCTACAGGACCAATAATTCACTTCTTTGTTTGGGGTAAAGCAGGAACCCATGTGGGTTGGTTGGGTTTTGGCTGAATGGCTTTCAGAAAGTGCATTTCAGCCTTTCTGTTTCCTGGGGAATGAGCATTTCCATTTTGCTTGCAGAAATCTCTGGCTGCTCATTTGGCCATGGCAGAATTCATGAGACAGTAACAGATCCTTCATGTTATTTCAAGTGTTTGTCATAAAACTTAAATAGCAACAAAGAAATAATTTTGGAAGATGAACTTTTTGGAATAGTTGAGTGGAATTTTCACTTTTAATTTGGGATGAATACAATCCATGAAATGAATTGTTTCAGTCCTATTACTCCTCACACATCTAGAAAAAAACCACAGAACCCCATTAGCCTTTTGCCCAGGGATGATCCTTGGCTTCATGGGGCTGCAGGGAGAAAAAGGCATGGTAAAAGTGAATTTGTTCTTAGAACCTGTGGCTAATGCAGAAATGCTGTGGAAATTTGCCCTGGTGGGGCTGGGCAGGAGCACACAGGGGTGGCTCAGTGTGGGACAGTGCCAGAGCAGCTTTCAGAGGGTGCAGGAAGGAAGAGAAATGGCTGTGAAGTTTTTATCTGCTCCCTGTGATTGCAGTTTTTTCTGGATTCTTTGCTCTCTGCAGAAACTGGGCTCTAACACTGCTGAACACAATGATGTGTTAAAACATGAAATCAAAAAGGACCAAACTTAAAAAGCGAACATGTTTTCCATAAAATCCTTCTAAAGAGGTATTTTGGTGATTTTGTTTTTTCACCTGAAGGCTTTGGGTGTGGAATATTAGGGAGACATTTCTGAGCTCCTCTCCCACTGAAATTACCCTTCCCATGCAGTGGAAGGCTGCTGAGTCTGTGTCCCTAAAGGAAAAATTCTTCAACTTTGAGAAAGGAGAGACCTTCAGAGGTAAGACTGGAAGGGAGATTTTTTTGTATTTTTAAATCAAAAGCAGGAAGAAAGAACTGAAGTAAAGCACCAAAAAAAAGTAATTTTTTTTTCTGACTCAAGCTCCTGAGTGATGTTTGAATGGAGGCACAAAGGGTGGAAGCTGTGATGTGGTCAGGGCCTGCAGGCCTGTCCTGTTTGTTATTTCCTTCCCAGAGTGGGTCATGCAGCAGTGAAGCTGTTGGACATCAGCTCAGAAATGTCACAGAGAATATTTCTAGAGAATAAATCTCATCACAAGGTCCACAGGTCCTCCAAGGACACCTCATCCACTGAGGGGAGCTGGGAACTGCTCAGAGCTTCTGCAGTTTCACCCAGCTCAAACACAGTCCAGTAGCAGTGGGTGGCTGGTGGGGCAGCAATTCATTGGGCCATCATTAATCCTCATTTGCCTGCACCCTGTTAAGTTAAACTTGATTTTCTCATGTCCCTTTAGGGGCTGTCTAAAGAAAACTGATCCTGCAGCAGCTTCAGTGTCCTCCTGTTCTGTGCTTAGAGATTTGGGAACTGAGTGTTACTTTGGGATGTTTATTCAGCTGCTGGGACTGGGACACTGGAGACTTTTACATTAAATTTTTAAACTGTTGCACTTGTTCAGTGTTACTGTGCACCCAGCTGGATTCCTGATTCCACGGGAGAGTTTTCATGCAGGTGAATTCCTGTACATCTGCCTGCAGTTAAGCTGATCTTCCTTTGCAAATACTCTCTAGATTGCATTTCTTTAATACCACTTTTTGTCTGTTGATGTTGCTGCATATTAAAAGATTTGATATTCCAGTTTTTCTGTAACAAAGTTGGTGATTTTCCTCTCTTTTGTCCAGATCAAGATGGGGACTTGTCGGGGACGATTTCCCTTGTTATGACCCAGTGTTGTAAGAGAATAAAAGACACAGTGCAGAAGCTGGCCTCAGACCACAAGGACATCCACAGCAGTGTATCCAGAGTTGGAAAAGCCATTGATAAGGTATTTGTTTAGTGCTTTGATTGCATTATCACTATATAACACAACATTTTGATTTTTTCCTACGATTACTCTGAACTAAATATTCTGTCAGCTGCAGAAGCAAAGGCAAGCACAGTATTTGCATTCAGAACTCACTGCAGCCAACCTGTTCCCTGTGGGACAGCTCAAATCTGATTTCTCACAGAACAGACCCTATAGATCCTACAGCATGTAGAAATATTTTGTGTTATATCAATTTAGCAAAATGTTTTCTTCAATGTGTGTCTCAGTAAGAAATACTGTTAGTTTTTATATATGTGTGTATATGTATTTCTAGCTGATTGTCAGCAGCAGGTAACTCCAAAGTGCCATTTTGCTGTGGCTGCCCCATCCCTGGAAGTGTTCAAAGCAACTTTAAACAGTCTGGTCCAATGGGGTTGCACAAGATATCTTTAAGGTCCAACCTAAAACCTTCTGTGATCCTGTGAGACCAGAGAATTTTTTAAGAAAGGCATTTTGTACCTCTTTCAGGGGTGTTACTGGTTTTGGGAGCTTAATTTTATAGCAGTGCTGTTAATGAGCAATAAAGGAGATTCAGCATTTCAGTCTCTGTGTCTAAATAAGATGGGGCAGCTTATCTTTGGTGCTTTACATGTGACACATCTGAATTCCAGGTTCAGCAATAACTGGGATGTGAATATTATTGTACCTGGTTTTGTAGGTAAATATTCACAATTCTTTGGAATTATATTGAAATGGTGCTACATGTATACTTTCAGACCATGCTTTTTCCTCCCTCTCTTCTTTTATATAAAAGTAATATAGAAATTACTTTTATTATATATTATATAGAATATATATTATATATAATATATAAATTATTAGTTCTGTGTGCAGGGAGTCTGATACTTGCAGTTTTGCACATTTTGTGGTAGCTTCACATCAGATTGTGTCTCTGACAGGGTCTAAACATTTGTTCAGCGCTGATTTATCCTTTGGGAATCTCATTTCAACTTTGGTAGTAATGATAATCTGCTAAAGCCCAATGTAACAATAATGAGATGAAGAAACAAAGTACATAATGCTGCATTATTAGCAGAATGTCCATGAAAGTTGTGTTTTTTGTTTATGTCTGACTGACCATCGTGGAGAGTTCAAACTTTGGACTAAAAGCTTTAATCCACACGTCACTGTTATCCAAAGCTTAAGGATTCATCTGTCTCAAATCCTTGCTGCAGTATCTAAACCAATTAACTAGAGTAAAATTCCATCCTTATTACCAGCTTGAAGCCTGAAATAAATCTATGTAATCTTGTCCTAAGTTTTTAAACTTTCCAGTTCAGCCTTAGCAGGTGGACTGTGTACAAACACACCTCCAGCTTTAGCCATACTTTCATTCCAATCCTCTGAGGTAGAACAGCCCCAGGTTGTGTGCAGAGGGTGTCAGTGTTCAGTGGAAATTGGTGAGGGAATTTCTTATAAGCCAAAGAAAATGCTTACAAGCATAATGAAGCTTAGGCTTGAGTCTAATCTCCAAATTACTGCTTCAGTTGTCATGGGAATAGTTTTTCCAGTGTTCTGTTCTGCTGTTTTAAGTTTATGTAGTGTTTTTATTTAAAAAATAATAGATGTGAATAAAAGCATTTTGTAAAATTTCAGATATGTTGATGGTAAAATAGTAGAAAGGATCTCCTGAATCTGCTCTGTTCCTGTTGAGTGTCAGAAGGGCTTTTCCAGTGAGGTCTCAGAATGAGCTCAGCTGCCTGTGTGCAGTGTGCTTGTTCCTCTGCATTTTCAGTCTCACTTTTTCTCTGGGGTGTTTCCATTAAAATATGAAAAGCAGTGGGAGCTGCACCAGTCCCCAGTTCTGTTTATAACAAAGGATGATGTTCTGGGAATTTCAGAGCACAGGTTAGGATTGCTCCTTAAATATGTGCTTGGTGGAATTTTTTTGGTTTTCCCCAACTCTAGTGTCTTAAAGGGCCTACTTTAAATTATACCTTAAAGTCTGGGCCTTTTTGTCAGATGAATGTGGGTAATGTTTAAATCCAGGTGAAATTCAGCATTTCCCTGAACTGTAACAATGGAAGCAAATCTTCCATATGTACCTAATGCAATTTCCCTGTGCTGCTGGGAATAAATATAAACATAACCATATAAAGATATAAATATATAAATTATATAAATATAAAATAAATAAAAATATTAAAGAAATATTTTTGATTTTTCCAAATATGTTAGTATCTTAAAGGGCCTACTTTAAATTATACCCCAAGGTCTGGGCCTTTATGTCAGATGAATGTGTGTAATGTTTAAATCCAGGTGAAATTCAGCATTTCCCTGAACTGTAACAATGGAAGCAAATCTACCATATGTATCTAATGCAATTTCCCTGTGCTGCTGGGAATAAACATAACCATATAAAGATATAAAAATATAAATTATATATAAAATATAAATATCAATATAAATGAAAATATTTTTTTTAATTTTCCCAAATATGGTAGTATCTTAAAGGGCCTACTTTAAATTATACCCTAAGGTCTGGGCCTTTTTGTCAGATGAATGTGTGTAATGTTTAAATCCAGGTGAAATCCAGCATTTCCCTGAACTGTAACAATGGAAGCAAATCTACCATATGTACCTAATGCAATTTCCCTGTGCTGCTGGAAGCCACACTTGGAACCTGCCAGCAAAGTCCTTGTTGGCCCCAGAGTCCCAAACTGGAATTGCCTCCCCATCCCTTCACCATAATGTACTTTAGCTTAAAGCAGTAGTGGTAATTAAGTGTAATTGATGTAGTGAATTGATTCTCAGCACATTCTGGTCAAAACCCTGCTGCTTCCAAACCAAAACACTCCTGAGAGTTTAAGGGAGCACAGCCCTTGCCTTGATTCATGAGAGTGGAGTTCTGTTTGTGTCATATGTAAGTCCTCACTTATTTTACAGCCACATTTACATCTCCAAACCAGTGCTCATGGCCTGGCATGCTCAGGCCCAGCTGCATGGGCTGGTTTGAGGTTGGGAAATGAAATGTGCTAATCCTGCTGCTCACTGTGTGACACAGCCACATGGCAGCTGCTCTTGCATGTAGAGTCAATAGACTTCCTATTTAGCAAGCTTGGATTGTGAAAGAGCTTGCTGCCATTGGCACTATTGTCTGCCGTTGGCAATTTCAGGTTACATTTCTTTTTTTCCCCATATGGGACAGGGTTATACAGAAAAAGTTTGGTCTGGTCAGTTTTTAAGTTACTGGAGTTGTTGTGAACTTGGCTGGGCCTGCAGAGTTCCCTCTGAGAACAGATACCCTTAGAGCAAAATGAAGTTCAAGTTTGGCATCAAATACATTCAATTCTGAAATGCCAGAGTGTGGGGGCCTGAATATATGTTGTATTGTGAGACCTGTGTGGGTCTGAGTTGCTCCAAACGAGCTGCAGCTGCAGGGTCCTTAGTTGAGCAGCAGCTGTAACTCGTGAAAGTAACTGAAATAAATAAGAGTGAGTTGAGAGCCCAAGAAGAGCCCCTGAAAAAAAAGAAAAAACTGTGCTACAGAAAATAGAAAAGAGCCCAAGAAGAACCCCTGAAAAGAAAAAAAAGAGTATACTGCAGAGAATAGAGAAAAACCCCAACAAAAAAACAAGAACAACACTGTAGCAAAGATTACAACACCAGAGCTTTGTGTGTTGTTTGGAAAGTTGATCTAATAAGCTGAACCTCTTTTCAGGGCAGTCCTGTGTGGATTGCATGCTTCTGATCCATGAAAACTTACCCTGTCTTCCAAAGAGCATTTCCTCCTTTGAAAGGAAATGTTTGCATCCAGGTTTTTCTGTCCTGTGCTGGCAATTGCTCTGCTTCCAGAACTCATCAGGTCACTGTTGTTCAGCAAGTTGTTATCAGGTGGCTCATTCATCAGTGTCCCTGTAAATCAGGCACTCTGGAACGGTTTGAATTCATCTCCAAGCAAGTTTGATAGGCTGGGAAATGTTTTCCCTCTAGGTAGTGGTTAAATGCCTTCATTTAGGGGAGTAAGTGGAGTAAAGGGTAGTTCCTTCCATTTCCCCCCTGAATTTTGTATCTGTAATAAGGCAAACATTTTAATCCAGTCTTTGTTTTGGGACAGCAGCCTTTTGCCTAAGTTAGTGTTCATTTCATGTAAAAACTTGTGTAGGAGCACACTAAAAACCTTCACTGAACATCATTTGATTGTGGTGCTGTGAAAAATGGGGCTACATCAATACAGTCTTTGCAAGTTGAACTTTCTATTATGTGTAAACAGATTGAGCAGAGAAGATAAACAAATGTTTTATTTGTATTTTGGGTAAGAATTCAGAAGGGAGGAATGCACAAAGTAATCTTCAACTAAATAACTGAGGAATCAAACTCCTTAATCATCATCCTCCCTCATATCCTGTTGTTCTGAATAACATGCAGGGTTGTGTGTTGGCTGAAAAGGTCCAGCTTGTATTTGTGAGCATCCTGAAGTCATCACATTCTAGCACTTACTGGTAATGTGCTGTACATTGTATCATTAGTGGATTTAGCACATCATTCTGTACAGTTTGGCCCCAGGCTTGCAAATTAAGCTTTTAAAAAAAGATGTGTTCCTCAGGAATACTAACTGACACATGGGTTACTTTGTGTGTTTTGGGTTTTAAGCTTTCTGGAGTTTTTAACTTGCAGAAATGCTTTGAACTGTTGAAATCTTATTACACCCCACGTGCTGTCAGTTAGCATACTGTTAGCATTTACAAAACAAAACCCAGGGTTGCAGTCACCAGCAGATCCTTCATGCCTGACAGTTGTGAAATAGAGAAGCCAAAGGCAAGTGATAATTTTTTCTGACATGTGGCAGTCACTCACTGTGATCTGTGCAATCAGTTCCTAAAGCTCCTCGGCACCCAGAGGAGGCAGAGCTGTAGAATGCCACATTTAATACCTCAGAATCGTTTAAAACAAATGAAAAAAAAAAGATTATTGGAATGAGAACCTGACCAAGACTGAGTTGGTCAGAGAATGACTGAGGTCCTCAGGTTAATGATGGGACTTGATAACTTTATGTGACTTGCAAAGATCTAATGGTGGGGTTGCTGTTTCAAAAGAAAATGAGCATTTTGAGGTAATTAGTTTATCATATCTGCCCCTGAGCAGTGAGAATGATGTGATCATGTTTGAGGCAGAGGTGCAGCTTCACTGGTTGGTAACTGCCCAGAACTGTCCAGTTTCTGCTTAGGGGATTTTGTCATTGCTAGGACTTGGAATTGCATGAAGAATAACTTCTGGTCAATTATTTTTAGATTAAAGATGATCTCCACCCTGGAAATGAGGTAACAAATGCAAGCTTGTGCATTCTGAACTCTGTCTGATATCCTTTAGTGCTTTGTTAGTGGATTTATTTGTGTTACCTGCTGGTGGTGGTTGGACACTGAGAGCAGAGTCAGCAAAGCTGGGGAACCTTTGAGGATTTGACTGATTGGCACAAATAAGAACAGTATTACTCAGTCTGCAAGGTGTTAAGTTTTTCAGGATACAGCTTAGAGGTGAACAGCATGACAAGGAGTTACAGGTTAAGACACCCAAGTGAGAATGTTATTAATGTGTGCCATGAATCAATGGCAATAATTTCAATGCTCACCTCACTGCACCATCTCAGAAAGGTGGGAAAGTCAGTTTGCCAGGCTGAGGTTAATGTTTCACTGAGAGCCCTGAAGGAGGCAGTGCCTTTGGAGCTGTGTGGGCAGGGATGCAAAGGCTGTCCCTTGTTCATGGTGACACAGAGCAGCATCAGAGGGGATGTAGAGGTGCTGATGAAGGAAATGAGGAAGTGGTGAGTACCAGGAAGGTGCAGTGTGAAGCTGAGCTGTGCATGGGAGGATAGCTGGTACCAGCTGGGTGTTACCTGCCCTGCCTGCTGTGACAGAAACCTGTGTTTGTGAGAGGCTGCTGTTCCCATTGTGCAGGGCTGTGGATCCTCACATCCTCTGAAGCTCCTTCTTGGGACAGAGCTGTGGTCACCAGAGCAGGCAGCAGGCAATGCACTGCCTTCTGGACTCTTCATTTTGCAAGACTCTTTATTTTCTAGACTCTTTATTTCTTTTAAGCAGTGGGTGAGGATTTTTATTAAAATTAACCTGCTTGCCCTGATCATAAAACATGTTAGCAGTTAAAAATCCTGGTTTGTATCTTGGATTAGAATAAATGTTGCTCTCCTGCTGCCAAGAGGCAAAGTGCCAAGCAGTGCCAAGTGTTACCAAGGAGCCAGCGTGACAATGTCTTCAGTTATTCCTGGAATATGTCCCTGGGCCACTGGCCTAAAAATACATGGCTCTGGGATCAGCTGGGTTAGTTCTAAAAAATATCTCTTGGATCTTCAAAGCTCATCCTGTTGTTGGGGTGTTGGGGTCATCAGAGATTTGGATTTTGTTGTTTGGATGTGGGAAGAAGTGACTTTTTTGCTTTTTCAGCATTGCTTAGTTCCCAGAGATGTAAAAATCCTTAAGTTAAAGCATTACTTGCAATTTGGTGTGCTGAATTGACAGAGATGCATTGATGACTCTGTCTGGATTCTAATGTAGGTGATTTTGTGTTCTGTTCTCTAAACATTTTCAGGTTTCCTATATGGAAAGAGCCATTTCTACAGATACTTCCTTCAGAAATCCACATGGACTGAAACCCCTTTATTAACTAACTAGATTTCTAACTTTCTAGTTAAACTTGTAATTTGTTGCTGTAATTCCTTGTAGTGAATAATATTCAGACTTGAAAAGGAGCAAGCTAAAAGATTTCTTCTTCCTCCTACAGGAGGTCATGAAGGAAGCTGCCATGTATTTATTTCACTTTGGAGATAATTGAGGGCCCAGTGAGTAACAGGCAGAAGGCATCAGGGTGGAGCCACAGGTGTCCTGCATGATTAAAGAGAAATGTGTGGGCTGGTTTGTTGCAGCCTATGAACTGTGAATTTGTGCCTTTCAGAATTTTGACTCGGACATCAGCAGCGTGGGGATCGATGGCTGCTGGCAGGCTGACAGCCAGAGGATCCTCAATGAGGTGATGGTGGAGCACTTCTTCAGGCAGGGCATGCTGGATGTGGCTGAGGAGCTCTGTCAGGTAACAAGTGTGGCTGTGGAAGGTTGGCCACTGAGGAAGATGAAGCTTTGTCTCAGCTTCCTCATTTGAATGTTTCAGATGAATATTTAAACTCATTGTTTTTTATGCTTTAACTAAAAAGTGCCCTTTTGTTTTTTCTTTTCAGGAATCTGGTCTGTCAATAGATCAAAGTCAAAAAGAGCCATTTGTGGAGTTAAATCGAATATTGGAGGCATTAAAAGTTAGAGTTTTGAGACCTGCACTAGAGTGAGTCCACTCATTTATTTTCCTCATGTTTTTTAAGGAATGCTCTTAACAGTTCTTTAGTTTTTCACTTTCAGTCCTCTCTTTAGCATATTCTGATGTGTCCCTGCTTGTCCTTTGAGAGGAGGAGTGAATTTACTGAGTGGATCTTTCCTTTTCCATCCCCTCTGTGTCCCTCCCCATGGGAAGTGATGAACTGAGGGTCTCTTGCTTAGATTGAGGATTCACTTGAATCACTTGTGGGGCTGCTTTAAGGAGGAAACATCACTTGGAGGAAAAGTTGTTGGCCAGTGATGGTGCTTGACTTTCTGTTGGATCATTAGTAACCTTATTTTAAGGGGTCCCATTGTGAAGGATACCAGGACTTATTAAAGGTTTTGGGTACCATGAAGCCTTTGGGGTGAGCAGAACAAAGTTCTCTTGTCCTTCAGTCACCCTCCCATTCCAGACAAGGGACCAGAGGGTGGGAAGAGCCTGGGGTGTTCTTAATGAGATTCCTCCTGAAAAAAACAATAAGAAACCCTCTGAAACCCCCTCATCTTGTTTTTTTTTAAACTTTTCTAAACTTAGGTTGCTCTCAAAAGTAAGAAAAAAAAATCAAAACACAAAACCCAACCAACCAAACAAAACAACCTAACCGACTTTAAAGTGAGCTTTTAGAAATAAAAACAGTGAAACCAAAATAAATTCAAAATTTGTCTTTCATTCCAGAGCATAGATCCTATACTTGAGATAGATTTTTTTGCATTATTCAGTTAAGCACATTTTCATAAGAACATTTTCTGTTCCCTTTTACATGAGCCAACATAGGTGTGTTAACTGAGCATTTGCTGGCATCTAAACTGAGTGCAGGGACACTCTGATATTCAAACCCTGGTGTTCATTGACTAAATCCTGGGTAATGCCTCTGGGTCATGCAAAGTTTGACCTAAATAGTTGGGCTTTGAATCTAGTTAGCCAGGTGGAGAGCTGGGGTGGTTTATTGCTGTTGAATTGGCTAATTGAAGGGAAGCAAAACTGATATTACAGCTAAAACAAGATTTACTGTCAGCTACACCACATATACCTTGTAGTTCAAATAATAGCAGAGCTGTGAAGGGTAATCCCTGAGGAACAGTAACTTGCTGTTATGAGTGTTCCCTTGAAATCTCTAAATTCATTTCAGCTCCAGTTTGCAGTGCTTTAGGCCTTACTCATTGCTACTGAGTTGTATCCTGTAGTTTCTGCAATGTGTTAAATATTTTTCAAACAAAGGAGAAGGCATGGTCATCCCTCGAAGGAATTTTTATTTTCCAGCTGCATGGGCAGACAATGGGGTGTATTGTCAGCACAGTTTGTGTGTTGCCCTACCCCTCCCCATCTTATTTCTGTGGATAATGTTTATTCTGTTTCAGCTGGACAGTGCAGAAGCTGCTGCTGGGCACAGAGGGGCCTTATTTATAGTGATGCTGCTGTCAAATTAATGACTTTTCAAAAGCACTTCAAAACTCTGCTGAGGTGATGGAAATCAGTATTTGTGTCTCAAAAAAAAAAAAAAAGACCCTAACAGTATTTGTTATCCAGGTTTTCTTCCTAATACAAATTTCAACACTTCAAAATAGGACCTTTCAGATTTAAATAGAATGTGACTGGCCATAACTTTTTTGTTTTCCCTTGTGGGATGTGGAAGTTGACTTTTGTAGAGGCCTAGTCTGGCCCTGCACTCTGAGCTGTGTAATCTCTGTGTGCCTGCAAGATCCCA